GCGCTTTCTATGTGACCTGTATTGTGCTGCATACATTTATATAAGAGTGTGAACAGAAATGGATGTGTTCCACCATTTACGACTATTTTATCAGTCTTGAAAATTGTCTGGTGTTTATCTATAGGGCTCTCTTTCCAGCTTAACTCTGGTCTTTAATTTCATTTACACACAGTACTCGCAATGTCAGGTCAAAAGAGATTTTATCATTAGCTGTAACGCTTATTCAACCCCCAATTCCAAATAAAAACAGAAAATGATTTGAAAATCTCACAACTCCACTTTGGTCATAACAGAATATAGAAAACATATCTATGCTTAAACTGAGAAAGTTTACTATTTCAAGAAAAAAAAAAGTAAATCACTTTGAATTTAATTGCAGCAACATGTCTCACAGAATTTGTGACAGGGCCATGTTTACCACCATGCAGCATCTGCTACTTTAATGTACTGTCTTGCTAAAATATGCAAGGCCCTCCCTGAAAAAGACATTGTCTGGATGCGAGGACATGTTGCTCTAAAACCTGTATATGCCCTGATGTTGTTGTTCTAGATATGCAAGGTAGTAATTCCATTCTGCACTATCATACCATCACAGGTGATGGTATTATCAATACAACATCTAATTTATATCTATAAAATCTGGAATCATGCATGATATAGTATGATGTCATTATGCTGACTAGAAAACACCAAACAACAGGTTAGGTCCTCTTCATTAGTACATAGGAGTCCCTGAAAGTTACTGTATATTTGTGTAATGTATACATGTGTATACAATGTGTGTTTCTATCATCTGTCTGCATGTCTACAAGTCAGTCTACTCTTTAGTTTGTCTTTTGTTCACTGGTTTCTCAAGAAAAACATATCTTGATCTCAGTGACAACCTGTTTAAATAAGGGATTTAGTAACAATAATAATCCCTGTCAAAAGCACAAGATTTCCCTCTAGAAGCTATGACCTCTGCCTGGTAGTAATGTAACCTTAGCCAGTTTGCATGGATACCTCCTACACGTCTTCCACAGCAGTGTGGCAGGAAACCCAAAGGTTATCTGAATGAGTCAGTTTTTTACATATATGTTTCTCTCCCACGTCAGGGCAGACAGATGGGGACATGCGGCTGAGACTGTGTGTGGGTTGGACATGTCCATTGGTCAACTCAACTAGTAATGCAATATGATTTTTAGATAAACAGACAAAGAGGAAGAAGGCAAGAGAGTCACAGAGATACAGAGAGAGAAAGAGACTTCCATATGGCCAAGGGGCAAACTTTATGTAAGCTGTTCAGTTTAATCATGGTCAAGTTTCATCATTATTAAGTAAGTAAGTACTTAATTTGTATCAATAATTTCACTGTTGCCAAATGATTCCTCTAAAATACTCATGGACACTGGCAGGTGGCAAGATGGTGGAAGGGTGATTTTAGTAGTTTGCATTTCCATCATTATTTAGTCAAAGATCATATTAAGTTTCATACTATTTCTCCTGCAATTCACTGTTGATTTGAACAACTTTGTTTTGGAGTGTAGTCTAATAAAGCCATGTCATTTAAAGCTTTAGCAACTCTATATGAAAAACAGATGTAATCACTGCACTATTGGCAGGAAGGCCTTCGCTTTTGCTTTATGTGTGTCAACATATAGATTTTTTGGAGTTAGAAATGATCAGAGGGGTTGGAGTGCTAAATCATTAGCTAAGGCCCCAGTCACACAGTCCTTGACTTGACTTGTCAGCAACCCCGAAAACAACTAGTCGCAATGAAAAAATGTGTATTTGCCATCTAGCTGGCCATAGGCTGCAGGCGGATGGTGGTAGTCGTTAGGTGAAAGTGCAATTGCTTTGGTCGTTTGCATGGAAGACGCAGGGTAACCTGCAAACACACACCAGCTGCCCTCCGAGTAGGAGTGATACTCCAAACAGTGTGACACAAATCCAAAATGGAGACTCACTTTTACTTTGAAGTGAGACTCAAAGTAAAAGTGATGTCTGCAGCAGTGAGACCCAACTTCTGCTTTAAAAGTCAACATTTTTTCAAGCTTTACTGACATTCAGCCAGTAGTAGTGTTTGTAAAGAAGTTAGCATTTTTTCCATACTAAATGGGTGATCACAGCAATCTGATAGTGACCAAATTAATTACAAGAAAGCTGTTGGTGAAGCCCTTTTCTGTGATCCACTTCACCTAACAACTGGCAGCAAAATCCAGCAACCACTTTATGGTTTGTTTAACATATATACATGTTAATTATATCTCTGACATTGCCCGTTTTAACATGAAAGTCATTCTTCAAGTGAGTCTCAAGTGTTTGTTTTTTTAAATCTTTGAACAGTTGAGTTTGTCAGATGGTTTGAGTATATTTGTATTTTTAAGCTAGTGTAGTACTGACATGTTCATTTATTACATCTATGGTCTGGCACTGGTATATGCTTAAAAACACAGTACACTTTTTTCCAATGACTGTCTTCCCACCAACTGCTTAAAGGGGCAGGCAAAGGGACAGAACTTCCTTTTCAGACCAATTGAATGACAGAATATTGGGTTATCACTCATGGATGACAGTGGACACATCTTCCAGGGAAGAAAAAAGTACCCGGCAGACTAACAAGGTCTCTGGAGAGAGAAAGAAATTAAGGAGGACCCAGGGTGACACAAATGGGCTGTTGTCTTTGTTTTCAGGCAGGAGAACATTAATGCTCAGTGTAGAAAAGTAAATACTTCTCTTCATGTGCTGACATCAAAAGCATGTTGAGTTCACTGAGTGACAGAATACAAACTAAATAGCATAAATGCATAAGCACTCAGTCATGTGAACATGCTGCCACTTTCAGATTTACACATACATGCATGTACACATATCCCCAAAACAATGATGACATGACTCAAAGTGTCAGCTAAGGGTGCCTGGGGGGGAAAGAGGCCCTGTGTTTGCTGAGGAAGATGTAGCACAATTACACAATCACAGCCTGTCGACCCAGTAGAGGACAATGCATGTGGCAGAATTGAGGACAAATACTCTCTTATTTTTCATAATAATAGTTTAAAAATAGCTCCATTTCCCTAAAATCTTCAGCAGACTTCACTGAACCGATTCACCAACTATATGTGAGTCTGACTGTGAACACTAGAGGTCAGACCAGCATCATCATTTCTTTGCGTTAGGTAAAGTTACATAAGGGCTGAGTGAAACAAACATGGAAAGAGAGCAATAAAGAAAGAAGAAGAGGAAAGAATAAAGTATGGAAAAGCAAAAATGACAATTTCTCAATAGAGACTCTCCATATCAGTGAGTTTCACTGTTAGTACAAAGTAGTGTAACGTTAAGAAGTGAATGGGGGACTTAAAGTAGGATACTGATTTCGTATAACTGCAAGAAAACATTGGTAAATTGACTGCTACTTATAGTGTTTTTCTACTCCAGCTGAGTATTCAAAGCACCTTCTCCTACAAGCCTCATACAACACTTTCATTTTATGCCTTTAAACATTTTGTCTAATACTTAAACACACACACGCACAATGTATGTATGCGAAACAACGTTCAGTATCTTGTCCAAGCTATTGAAAATCACATAGACTGAAGGTACAAGGGATTGAATCACCGCCCTTCCAAATAGCAAACGATCCATTCTTTTTAGTTACTCATTAAACGTATCAGACACAAAATTTGTGACTAGACTAACACAATTTTGAGTGCTGTCAGAGATACATTTTTGAGCTGTGTTTGTTGTCCTGCGTCCTTCCATATTTAATGAACATTTACAGAATTTTGTTATTACTCAGCTCTTGGCATGATAGCTAGGTGTGAACTACACCACAAATCCAATGACTTTCACACAGCCTTAAAGGACAATGTGAAAGTTACTGACAAAACTAAAAAAAAGCACAGCTGAATCAATCCAGAAACAACATAACACTTGTTTCTATTTGCATGACGGTTGCGCAGTTATTATTTACCATTAAAAGAAACGTATTATTATTTACCAGTCTGACCAGTAGGTTACACTCACATTTCTGGAAATAATTTGGCCCATGTCATCTGTTTCATGGTATGAGTTTGAATTCAAGAGAACAAAAAAATGAAAAGAAACTTTTGTTGTCCCTTTATTTCTTTATTGATTTTATGAGGCGAGCATTAGAAAAATTAATCCTGTACTGCAGCTCATATGAGGTATATAACACACCTCAACTACCAAGGAATGGGTGGCTACACGTTTCTAAAGATGCAGACAATGAAACGGAATGTGAGGTGACGTGATCCCTTGACCTTTCTCCTGTTCGCCAACTTTCATGAAAAAGCTGTTTAAACCTAACTCCATCTAAAGGCCGAACAGAATGAATCAAAATATAAGGTTATAAGCACGTTTTTAGGTTGATTTATGAAACTACTCCACTACTACTGGGCGAGGATGTTGTTATGTTTATCTGACTAACAGATTATGTTGCACTCAGAAGAGCTGCCCTTCTAGAGCCTTTATGTATCAAGAAAAGAAACCCACATTTTGTACTCTAGAAAAGAGACACCTTGTGTTCCTAGTTATTAGTATAACACAGCGTTACATTGAAAGGAATGTAAAGCCAGTGCTTTAATGTGCTTTCTTGTCTTTTTCTCTCTTTTCTTGATCAGCTGAGACAGACAAGACTCAGAAGCTGTTAAACAATGACTCTGCTCAACACCTAAAACTAAAAGAGAGACGGCGCTTTTTTGAAGAAGTCTACCAGCATGACATGGATAATGACTTACCTACTGCCCAACTGCAGATTGACCATAGGAAGCGTGAGTGATAATCTATCTAACCCCTAACTAATATGAGTATTATGTATTATGTAGTAGTATATGTAAATATAATCTAATCAATACAGATATATATAAATAAAAAATATATATAAATAAATATATATATAAATATATATATATATAAATATATATATAAATAAATATATAAAAATATATTGTATATCTGAGCCAACTGGACGAGCACTTTCTCATAGTAATATGACACCTTAGCAATGACCTATGATGTATCGGATCATGAAGCCCTTGATGTGTTCCTCAACTCAGGCTCAGAAGCAGATGAGGGAGCTCTGGCGTCTCCACTTCCAGGTGCACCGTTTGCCTCTCGGGCACAATTAATCTGCTGCCACTATACCAGGGGTCGGCAACCTGCGTGTGGCTCTTTAGTCCTTATAGTGCGGCTCTGTGTGGTTTGGGAAAATAAATTAGTAATAAACAAGTATTTAGCTGAAGTGTATTTTATTTATGTTAGTTCTTTTTTTTTAACTTGTACTGTAGTTCTAAATTGGAAGATTATTGTGATATTGAAATATAAAAATAAAATTATATTATATTATTTTTTCATTGCTCAAAATAAGCGTCACACTCGCGGAGGCCGGTGTACCTGCCGAAACGCCGTGCATTTATCGAGACTTTCAACCCCAGGTAGGCCAATTATGGATCTTCGGATCCACGTTATGTCAGCAGCTATTCTCCACCGTGAACTATGTTAAAAACAAACACCGCTCACGCCTCACAGATGACAGCTTACAGTCCTGCTGTTCAGAGGTTCAGGAGCAGAAGTCTCATTGTACCACGGCAGACCCGACGATGTTTGCATGAACATGCTTTTCAGCATCTCTTTATTGACCACTTTTCACACACGGTTGCTGTACGCATACAGCCAGCTGTAGCTTTTCAGCTCACAGCCCGACACGTACCAACAACAGCATAGATGGCACAGACTTTAAGGCGGCGAGGCGTGATTGCGGGTGCCGCTCAGGTGCGTCCACCTCCCCTGCAGCGGCGCTGCAGACCACACCCCGCCACACACATTAACCAGGTAAAATACATATTTAGGAAGAATTTTGCAAATATCTATTTTTCTTTTTTCAGCAGCATAGTGCTTTTTTTAAATTATTTTTTAAAAGTCAGGCCAAGGCTCCAAAAGCCCAAAGGCGATATAAGGGTTTTGTTTGCTGGATCATTTTAGTTCAGCTGGGTATCTTTCCTTTTGTTATATTTCTTTAAGAGTTCAAAATGTGTTAATTACATAAATAAAATGTAATTTTGTCTGTAGCACTTCATGGATTTCATAAGCAACACACCTTAGTTGTTCACACAAAGCATAAAGGTAAAAAACAATATATACAGTGTTATCTTCATTTTAGATGTCAAAAAGTATTTGCGGCTCCCAGCGTTTTCTTTTACATGGGAACCGGGTCCAAATGGCTCTTTGGGTCCTAAAGTTTGCTGACCCCTGCACTATACTATTCAAAAGCTATTCTTGTACATAGATTTCCCATGCAGACATTTTTTAAGCACACCACTTACTCTGGCCCTTTCAAGATCTGTGTACATTTGGTGATGAATTTTTTTTTAACATTTCTTTCATAAAAAAAATGTTGTTTTCAAAATAGGACATTTTGTTACAAAAATGTTTTTGTTTTGTTTTTATATTTTGTCAAACAATGACACAGTGCTGTGCTGAAATACTGTCTTGATTCATATATTCTAATATTTAGGTGTACTGACATTTTTTGTTACTTCTCTGGACAAAACTCACTTGAATAACAATAACACTGCAGGGCAGTTTGGGTCAAAAGTTAAAGGCTTTATATGACATTCAGGGGCATTTGGGTGAACCTGATCAAACCCTGTTCAGACTTTAAACATGGTGACAGGTACCAACATATTCTAACAGACTTTAATTGCAGAGGGTGAGGAAGACGATGAAGACGATGAAGATGCCGAGGTTGTCTACAGGGAGTGTGCATCTCTGAAACGACAAAATGAGCCGTTCCGTAGCTCGCAGTCTCGCATTTCGTCTACATCGTCTGCTTCCAGTGATAGCAGCGCGAGTGGCGTGGACACACCTGTGATCCAGTCGGATGATGAAGAAGTCCATGCAGACACTCTGCTGCTGACCTCTGCGCCCCAAACTAGGGATGAAGAATCAGACGACGAAGAAGCTGAGGAAAGATACCATCCGACTAATCATGATAAAGCCTAAATTTGAATCACTTAGGAGCAAAAATCGCTCTCTGTGTCTCTTTCTCTTTTTATGTAATTGAATTTCCTCCACATGGATGCAAACCCCAGCATGGCTGGCCCAGTGGCAAAGTTCAATGTTTTTTGAAAGTGTACTTATCCAGAACTTTCAGTTGGAATTTAGAGTACACCCAAATAACTGTGGCATACTTAATTAATTAATTACTAACTGAAATTTTTAGGGGCTGTGTCACTAATAGCGCTTGTATGCAAATTTCCATATGGGACATTCCATGCTCATGCAGTAACTTGTTTTGGTTGAAAGGAAATGGCTTAAAGTTGAAGCTATACACCTCTTACTGCCAGAGGGAATTTTCCCTCCTCCCCATTCTTGAAATTACAGGTTCCAAGCAGCCGTGTGAGGAACAAAACTGAACTGAAATTGCATTTGCTGAGCAAACAAATCTTTGTATATGGCTTGCATACATGAAAAAGGAAATTCAAGAGACCTGTAGTAATAATATAAAGCTTCCTTACGTTTCACACTGAAACGTAAAAATTCTGGGCACCTTGGATCATATTTTCCCTCTTAATTGGCAATTATAGTGCAACAGATACTATTCCCATCATGCAAGTTATCAGATTTCTCTATGAAGGTGTGACTCATTTCAAAGGGCCGTGACTATGAAACCAAGATCTCATGACCTAAAATGTGCTGGAAAGACTTTTAATGCAAATGCAAAAGCTGCATAATACAGCTCAATTCTTAACTTTAGACTTCCAGAAGGGTGCATTTATGTTTAACTTTATGTCTGCTATGTATATGTGTACACATTTAAGCAAGGCTAAAACAACACGTCACTGTCTTCATTCTTCCTCTCAAGAAAGAGAAAGTAATTCTGAGAGTCTAGAAAGGACAAAGTCTTTATCCAGCACAGAAAGATAAAAGTTAAAGTGAAAACAAGTAAGTGAAAACATTTTTCTAAGTGAAGCTCCACTTTTAACCTTGAGACCTCAGTGGTCGATATAAAAGAAGAAAAGTTAGAATGAGCTGTTTAGTCCATTATCTGTGACTTCTTTGTCCTAAGTGTGAGAATGCCTTTGTGCAAGTGTTCAATCTGCCAGCATCTGGCTCGAAGGGTGATGTGCCTATACAGAGTTCAAAGTGGAAAATACACAATAAAAGTCAGGGAACTCTCCTCGTTGTGATGGAAAGATAAAAAGAAGAATATTAGAAATGAGTCACCAAAACGAGTCACAGTGAATACCCTCCTCCTTCTGCCAAAACCTATATTTCTTTAAGATTTTATAAATTATTGCTTTATGCATGTGGAAACTACAGAATCATGAATGGAAATATTGTATTTACAAATGCATGGTGTTTTGTTCTTGTGACAACTTCATATGTTTTCAGTACTACTAGTGTTGCATTACTGAACTATGCAGGTGGCACCTGTTCTCCATTTGACGTGTTTTTTGGACATTGCATATTTATAGCTAGAAGGAGTGGCAGTGACTCAGGTGAACGCAGTTTGTGTGTGAATGCTCAGTGTTTAATGTGTGTCTACGCAGATGCCAAAAGTTTCGTGCATTCCCCAGCTTGGCCCTGTGACTACTTCCAAATCAACCTTTATACAGTGTTCCTATGATGTGTGCATCTTATTGCAAAATAAAAATAAAAATAATAGTTGGAACAGTTGGAAGTATTTTCATTTGCTTCAGATTTTGCGGATTTTGCTTCATTGTTGTTTCTGATGTTCCAGCATTGCATAAATAAATAGACTGCAAGAGAAGTAACCTCACTACATGTAAAAAATTTTAATGGCAACTCACAAAGATTTAAAGTTCCATAATATACTGGCTGCTTTAGTGCCCAGCAGCTAGCTTTCTAGTTCAACCAGTTTGACAAATTTGTTTTGGATCACCTTTCATAGAAGCAACTGCTATCTGTGGCTTCTTTGTTTTGCCCATCATCGTGACAAGCAGCGTTTTTGCTGAACTGCTTAAAAGCAACACACTATAACATGTAGCTGTAAACCACATAGCTTGTGGGAATCACAGTCAATCCTTCACTATTAACCACATTCTGACTACTTTTGTCGACTCCATCCATTGCTCATGTTTTCTGTGTAATACCCTGTGGGTTTTAAGTAGACTAACAACAACACTGCTATGGCGGGCCTTCAATGCACCACCAACCTAAATTACGTATTTTAATGTATAAGAATAAAACACCCTCTACCCACTACATTGTTAGTCAGGTTCTGACTTCCAATACTGGCTATAATAATATAATATAATAAGCTCATTCCAGCCCATTTCAACCAGCTTTTACAGACGTCACACACTTTTAGGGAAAATTCTTAACTCCTGCCCAGAGTTTAAGGAGCCACACTTTCAAAGCAGGGCAAATTGCTGCTAGTTTGAGTTTCACAAATGGGAGTGGAGAGTTCTGTGGGTGATCCAGTAACGAAGACAGCCAAAAATGAATAGACCAAATTTGGCGAGAGTAACATACTAACAAAATGAATGCATAAAAGCACGCCAAAAGAAATACAGACAAATCATATATACAAGAAGATGCTGAAGGTAAATCAACGTTTTTGATATAAGGATAACTATTCTTTTTTAAAAGGTGCTGGGGACTGCTGTCCTCTGTGTAAATCATCTGGATCTTCTCCTGATAAACTAAGAGAGGAGCTGCGTTATTACAAACTATTCCACGGTATAAACCTTAAATTGTCTGTAATAGCTGACTTTTATGTTGTCTTGAAGAAAATATAACATTTACCATTAATTCTCAGCTTATCCATATGTTAATGAAGATATCACTACTGTGCCATGTGCATGTTTTTTCTACAGGCTGTGTGAAACTATGTGAGGCTGAGGGGATTCCCCTCCTTTCTCTTACACCGTTCAGTTCAGGTAGGTTCTGGTCTGCTTCATCGGGACACTACTTACTGAAGAGCACGGATATGCTAGGCTTGGCTCTGAATATGCAGGGTGAGGACTCAATGAAGAGTTACAGGGCAGAGCCAAATTATTGGCACTGAAGCCATAGCCTCCATCCATCTTTGACAGTTATGCACTTACATCTCCTCTTCCCATTCCAAATAAATAAACATTTACTTATCATCTATCAAAACCACATCAGGTACAAAGTAAGACATGCTTCTTTGTGGCAAAATGTCCGCTGTAAACCTTAGTAAACCCCTTTTTGTGTGTGCTTCATTTACAAAGCCTCCTTCTGAAACTTTGAGCTCAAAAAAGGAATCTCCTACAAATACATATATAATAAAACCAGCTGCAAATATACCTGTTTCCACACCTTTCATTCACTAAACTGACACTGACTAACACTTAAAACAGTTTTGTGTGTTTATATTTATTATTTGTGCATTGTCTTGTGTAACTATTTTCTAACTGACAAGGTCAGGCCAGGTTCTTTCATACAGTATCAACCTACTTTAGAGGCAGGTATAGCAGTAATAAGTACAAGTACTGAACCTAATATGCAGGTTTGAACTTGTGTGCACTTTGCTTCATTTTCAAACACAATATTGTAACTGGCACTTTACAATAGGCAATACTCATGTCAGTTTTTTAAGTCGCTTCTTGCCCCCTGGCAGCTGGGATAGGCTCCAGCCCACCAGCAACCCTGTATATAAGCAGAAGAAAATAGATGCATGTATGTTTTAAATTAGGTTATGACCTAAGATTTCTTTGGGGTTTTTTTTGTTTGTTTTTTTGTAATGGTTTAACCACCAGCTTATGGTTTATGCTCAAGCACTATAATGAAATAATATTTTTAATACTTAAATATAATTGTTGTTTTTATAATGACTTTTCAAAGTGATGTTTTTGTACAAAAAAACAAACAAAAGAATAGTAAAGCTAGAATCCAAATGCCAAATTAGTTATTTACTGAAATTGAAAGACAAAAACTAGTTTTCGAGGTTTACTCTTGATTAAGTTCCAGCTTCTCCAGTCAAGTTGGCTGGCTCAAATGCCGGTATAAACAAAATCATTTAAACAAGTTTTGACTTCTAAACATTTGATCTGTTAAATTCCTGATTTGTTATACAGTACAGAGATGGCTACCAGATAGGGCTGCCTATCTGGCAGTCATCACGAATCATGATTACGTCAACTATCAAAATCATCGAAGACAACTTTTATAGTCGACGCGTTGTTTGAAGCTTTGTAAGATCCTAAAAGATGCAGGACTAAGTAGTTGGATTTAAGAGTGTAATAATGGACCGAAACAGAAGATGACAGCAATGCAATACAAACATGCCAGCTGCAGTTACATGCCAAAGAAGAAGAAGAAGCAGTTTCCGGTATCGTAGCTGTGTCCAAATTCACGGGCCTCATCCTTCGGAGGCCGCATTTGTTGGCCAATTACGTTACAGCAAAGCGACAAAGGCTGTTCAAATTTGAAGGTTTCTTCAAACGCAGCCGACAAATGCGTCCTTCATTTCTCCAGATTGGAAGGATGGGTTGGGTGTATCCTTCGTGGCCCAACCTATCCCAGAATTCATAGCGCAGCCCAGCCAATTTCATGTTCCAACAATGGCGGCAGCTACTGAGTTTTAATATTACTCTTTCTGGGTCACAAAATAAACTTTTAACATATTTTCAGGCAAGAATGTAGCTGTGTAAACTTCATATATCTGCTCGATTTATCAAGACATCACATATTTGCAAAAGTGCTCTGACAATTTCGGAGAGGTCTGTTACCCACCAGCTCGATAGCTAGCCAGGGTTCAAGACTCACTAGAGCTGGCAAGAACACCCCCCGCGGTCTTTTGCTACTTCAGTTAAACACGATATATAAGTCACTTAGATAACGTAAAAAATCTTATTGTTTGCCTTTTTTCAGTGTTTTATTTGTTCCTGAGTAAATCAGTTTGGCTGAGATTAAAGTTATAGTTTTCACACAGCTGAATAAACATCAAACAGAAAACTGAAGTGTGAGATGATAGAGAATATACTCCGGTGTCCTGTTATATTTTAGATAGCAAGGAGCAGACGGCTGAGTTTATTAAACTCCACCAAGACAATTTGCCAATTTCATTAAAAGTTTAATAAACTGTCATCTTGTCTTTATTTTTAGTTAGCACATACCTTAAAAACTTCAAGCTGTAAGATAATGATAGTTATATAAGAGCAGATGCATGCTGGTGCAATAAGCTGTACGTTTTACTTCCAATTTATGCATGATCTGATTAGTCAGCTAATCGCAAAAATAATCGGTGACTAGTCGACTATCAAAATAATCTTTTGTGGCAGGGCTACTACCAGAGCAATGAAAATTTGCTTTGAATATCATGTCAAGGAATCACAGATAGTTCAAATTTAAACCCTATTTTGTTTTAAAATGAGAACTGCAGATTTGTGCACCATATCCACTGATTCAGCAACTTAGTGAAAGAAGCTAAATAGGTGAAAGCACCAAAAATACAGCCTATAAGTGGTTTCTTCCAATAATTCCATAATTGTAACACACTTAAATCTTAAAGAACATGTAATTAATTACTCCTTTTTTAAGATAATGTAAATATAATTCTTATCAACCAAACAATAATTATTATCAGAAAATCGACAATTTTGTACTGTATCAGGTGGGTTTGGGAAGTTAAATTTGTTAATAGTCACAGAATAGTGACAGAATAGTAGAAAAAATAACAAATTACAAAAAGAAAGCTAACTTCATTGACAGAGAAAATAACTAAAAAGAAGACTACAAAAAAAAAAACAATTCATGTGTCATGATCCTGGGTCCTTTTGTCCCAGCGTTTTGTGTTTTCTCTTCGCGATTTTGGTTCTGTTCTCCTCTAATCGGTGTTTACCCCCCCCCCCCCATGTGTTCCTGTTTTATTGTGAAGGTCTGCGTCTTATGTGAGTGTTTTCAGTTTGCCTCCCTGGTCTCGTCATGTTAATCACTCCCAGCTGTGTCTCCCGCCTGTGTGTAATCTCCTTGTGTTCTCTGAGTGTATTTAAGTTGTATTTTCTGTCTTAGTAATCGCTGGTTCGTCTGTGTTGTTTCCCCTCGGTCTCTTCATGTGTATTTCCCCGGATCTCCCTGCACCGTCATTCCTGGTTTGTGTTGTTAGTTTACCCAGTTTAGGTTTTCGGTTTCATGTTCACACCCCGTTGCTGTTTGTACCCACTGCTGTAAATAAACACTCACCTGCACCAGAGCTGCCGCCTTTTGGGTCCTTTCTCCACCTCCACACGGCTTGCCCCGGCAAACCGTGACATCATGAAAATACAGCAGGTTGTAAAAGCCATCTTTGCGTGACAAACATAAAAGCCTTAAGGTTACTTGGGTCTAAAGGGAGGAGCTCATTTTTGTGCCAAGAGTTTTATGTTTTATGTTCTGACTCTGCAGTGGGGAAACATTTTTGAAAAATCACCTAACTAAATCTCTGTGTGACAAGGTGCTACATGTAGTGATTGGTAAAAGTCATGCAGATTTTTGAAAATGATTGTGACTAATTTGTTTGCACTGTTGGATTGCTTTGTTCATGTTGAGGTTTTGGAAAAACCAAACTATGGGCAACTTCTTCCATGGATAAACAGTGTTAGGCATCAATTACTCTGGTGCAATCGTTAAGCAAATGTGAACACTATTTTGATGCCAAGAAAAATATCAATAACACTACCTTCTCACTGAAAATGGAGTCTTCATTGGAATTGGTTATTGAGAAAGCTTTTCCTACAACTCCCAATTCTTTTTTTTTTATTTATTTTTTCCTTGTTTGCTTTATTTTTCTCTTACTATCTCAACTTTAATGTATATATAGTGTTTAGAGAACCTCTATGTGTGTGATTCAGAGAGAGAAATCATGAGAGGCAGTGAGCAGAATATATCCCTGTCTTTCCATAGATGAAGGCTGTTTGTATATAATTTATGTACAAAGCTCCTCAGCAGGATTTCTCTCAATTCAGCTCATTTTGACAGCTTTATGGCACGCCATCCAAAAAGCCCTCAGGAGGTTGATATGTCATTTACATAAACTTATAATATAACTTCAAGATACAGAGCAAAGACACACCGACATAAAAACTAAATGTCCATAACATTAAATGGTCTAAATGTTATCATAAAAGTTAAATACATATATACACCTAAACTATGTGGTTCTTGTTTAACACATTAACATTAATTCACACTCAAGCAAAGGTTTGGGGCTGCAGTAAATTATTTGTTACTTAAGTAAACAATATTGTTACATTCCACCTATGGTCCTTTTCCTGCTATGATATAATGGTAAGGGTATTGTTAGAAAGATAGTACTTACTACACTATAACTTTTTTGGAGAGGTTTGGCACTGTGCTCCCACAAATACACACACACACACACACACACACACACACACACATATACAGGCTCTGGAGGCAACTACTGTAAGCCTGCAGATAACTCCACAAGAATCTGTCAACTAACCAGCCAACACTCTTCATAGAGCCAGAATTCATTTTATCTGGTTCAACAACCTAGCAAGCACGCTGTGGTTGTGTTGAAAATAGTGGAGGCTGCAAGGAAGCAGATGAAAATAAGCAAATTACTTTCCCACATGTTTAAGCTTGTCGAACAGGTCGTTTTACAAATGACTATATTTGGTTTCTTCAGGGAAGGTTTACACATTCACATACTGTTAAAAAGATAAGATGTCAACTTTTAAAAAAGGTTTTTATTTCAGATTTTGGGTTTGCCCTCCTCATTGTGACGCTATCATCACTATTCCTGTTATCAAACAAATATAGGGATAAATATGTAAGAATGGGTATTTACAGTTGAAAACTCATCTATGGAAAATGCAAAAATGTGAAATTTTAAATGCCTGTGAATCACTGTCATCTTGAAGCTCTGCAGACAGGTGTACATGATCACCATGATGAGGTGCATTTGATCAGTATAAAATATGCCAAGTCACTAGAACTGGAACACAATGGAACGATAGAAAAGATACTCTACTTCTGGTCTTTTTTTAATTTATATATTATCATATATACACCTTATCACCGTATTTTTTTGTTCTACAGACAAGTATAGTGACTATCTGTATCATAACAATCCTACTACAAACAGTAGTAGGAGGCCCAAACAGCCACTGATTTATGCAGCTCTCTATTTTTTATTGGCACTGGGCCAGGCCTCGCTAGTGTCAAACCCTGCAGATACTTTCATACTTGCATTCCACAGAAACAAAGCCTCCCCTCCCATCACGGTGTACTGAAACAGGTTAGAAAGAACTAGAACTCATTAACTGACATTAACTGAAAGTGGTTAATAAACAAGAGTGTGGCGTTTCTTTTCTCAGCCTGTCCTGTCTTACAGATTGTCATACTGCTACGTAATAACTGAAATAACAGATAAAACAAACATCTTAACAAGAGAAGCCTATAGAGTATTTACAAAGCTAATGATGGAAAAGCAAAATGTATTTGGCACAACTAGTGCATTCAGATCATAACTCTGATAGTAAAAGCTGCCAGACCTTTACCTCCTCCATAGATTTTAGAGATTAAAGAATTTAGTTTTCTTTCTTTAATGGCCACGTGTCATTTAGTAGTGGCATCAGTCTATCAATGTACTCCTTTAGGCTTGGTAGTTTTACTTTTTTTACTGAGTTTTAAGGTTTACAATTTGAACCTTCTTTATGTTGCTTAGGAAGGCTCCAGGATATGAGTTGCACTTGCCCATTTTGTGTACTTTTAAAATATTTTTCTTTTAAAAAAAACAAAGAAACAAAACACCTGGAAGCTTTTTTTTATATGTGGGATGTCGTGGTCAAGTTACACTAGGGCCCATTTAATGTAATTTTTTTTTGATTTAGCTTCTCTATCCCTTTAATTTATACAACACAAGTACAAGTACACAGAGTTATTCAATTTCAATTCAATTCAAGTTTGTATACATATACATTAGGGGTGCAGCGATACACAAAATTCACGGTTCGGTTCGATATTTTGGTGTCACGGTTCGATATTTTTTCAATACAAAAAAAATGTTCATGCCTTTTTAATTTGTCATTTATTAAAATTATAAATATATATTTTAACTCAAAAGTACAGTTTTTAAATTTAATGTTGCCGAAACAACAAAGTAATAAAATCATAAATCTATCTGATTGAGGAATCACTCATCTTTGGAAAAGAGAGTTTATTACAGAGAAATGGCTCTTTCCAAAATAAAAGCTATACTATACGCTTCTTCTCAGCAGCATATTAAACATATCAGGTCCCCATAAGGAGAATCATGTGCTAACGGCTGTCTAAATGACTCGGGTAAAGTTTGTACCATGTGTGCTTGTTGTTTTTGTCTGCTTCCACTTGACTTTGCACTAGGATGATGTCGGAGTAAATGTGCAGTCACATTCGTTTTGTTCCCACTAGTGCTGTCAGCGTTAATATGAAATGATTTTAACACCACAACACGGCAAATCTCCGTTAACGAGCTACCGCGGATCGCCCAGTGCTTGGGGCTGGACAGCCAACACGTTAACGAGCTAACTGCGCTAACGCAGTAGTTCCCACCAATGTAATTGAGCATTGCGTGGCACATCCGACATACTGTTTTACTTTAGTCCATGACGCGCTTACCTTCAGGGTCATACGTCACATGAAAACCAAAATAGTTCCAACACCACATCTCTCCTGTCTCGCTAGCTTGCCCTGCGCTCAGTGAATCTGCGTTCGATTACTCCACCTAGGCTGCACTGTCGAGCGCAGATCCACTGAGCGCTCAACACAGACAGCATCGTCAGAAGGAAAGTTGATAAAATAAATTAAAAATTTTGTATTGTTCATACATATGCGTACTGAACCGAAAGCACTGTATCGAACGGTTCAATATCGATACGAATATCGTTGCACCCTTAATATACATATATAGGGAGACGGGACAAAACAAAGCCCATGGGAGAGAGAAAACAGTATTCAAGAATATAGCAGTATTCATATATCAGTTTAATAAATTATGTGTTAAACATCAGTGACGAAGTAATTTGATTCCGTGTTAAAGTAGTGAATCACCATCCAAATTTATTTTTTTAGATGTGGCTCACCTCCTTAAATACAGATGCGTCATTTTAATAACCAGGCTTAGTCAGTGGGAACTGTTTACCTGCAACTTTGTGGAAGCCAAAACTAATACCTCCAAAACCTGCCAAAAAGCATTGCCTTTGGCAAGGTGGACACAGTTACCATTAGTCAAGGATTATATGATAATAACTGTTAATTACAATTCAAATCCACTGACTCTGAGTCTGAAAAGAACTGCAAAGCTTCAGTACTAAATATTTAGGAATTATAGGAATACGCAGGTAGAGAAGGCACATACAGAGTGTGTGTAACATATCACTGACTGAGTATGAGTGAAGCTACTTTTACCTGTGTGCTTAAAAGGTTCTCAAAGCGACTAAGCTGAAGGATCTGTGGAGTCAAACTTCATTTGCATATGATGTAGGCCGCGCATAAATAAAACACGGTAACCTGAGCTGTAGAGCTGGAGGGATGTACACCTGAGCTGCGAAGCACACCCACAGACTAAAAACTCACAGTAGCTTATGCATTCTCTCATGAAGGACATTTATACAGGCACATTTATGGGATGCATAATACAAAACCAACTGGTCTTTTACTGCACAAAACTGGAAAAAAAATACATTTATTGCACCCTGATACATCAAATAGTACAGCATGAAGACACAGGTCTGTGTAGACTGGAAAGTCAGCCAATCTGCTCTCTACAGCAGCTGTGGGCAGGGCTTTCCCGCACTCCTAGTCAAGCTGTTTTTGAAACTTAGAGCACTCCAACAGAGGATATCAAGGAGTGTAGAGCAAGATGAGGATCTCCCTTTTTCTGTTGGTGAGTACAACCTTTTTAATAATCTTCAGTATTGATAAGGGATTGTCTTATAAATTCTTATTGTTATTCTTTTTCTTATTCTTATTGTTAAACCCAAAAAAGATAATTGTATTCACCACTGAAGATAAACATCAATTTCAATGTTTGATATTTTTTCTGTAATGTTTATTTGTATTATATCTAATGATATTTTCAGGTTACATTAACCTGCATAGAGCATTTAGCTTCTGTTAATGTATAAGTTCCCATCCGTTCACAAGAGATAGATGAGCAACGCAAGCAGAACTTGTTCTATGCAGTGTTGTTACAGCTTGTGGACTATGAACTTTAACACAGTGTATTCGGTGAATAAGCCTTTAGGTGCTCAGGTGCTTTAGGTGTTTAAATTTACTTTGCAGTATATTTAGTTTCTGTTGTGGGAAAAACAGTCAATCAAGAAGCTATTTGCTCACACACCTATATGCTCACTCCCTGGTTCATCCATCGTACTATATGTACTAGCCTACAGACCTTCCTATTATTGTCTGAAGCTCATTTAATTATTTACTATTTTATTTAGTAGCTAATAACATAATATATGTCCTGTCATCTGCACTTGGTAAACTAAATGCTATAATACTGCATGTTTGTCAGATGATTATTCTTCATTCAGAAAAAAAAATCCAGAAAATATTGATATAAATGACTTCAACAAATTTTGGGTACTTTTGGGCACCCTGCCCGTGCCAAAGCGCTCACAGGCCGAGGATAGCCCTCCCCCAGCTGCTATTAGGGCAGGAGATGTTCACACCTATGCGTCCAAACTGCAAATGAATCGCGCATGAGCCAAGCCGCTGCTCCCGCACTGACCGTAACGCAGTCAGTTCTAGAAGAACTGACAATAATTGCTAAAAGAAATTTAATTTGTAGTTCTAAATAAATTATAAATGCATTTAAGACGTTTTTTTACTGACTTTATGTCTTTTTTTACTGACTTTATGTCTCTTCCACGATGTTATTTCTCTCTCCAACAGGTTACAATTACATTAGCATGACCAATTATGCTAATTAGATGACAATGACGTAATTTAGCAACTTCTAGCGACTTTTAGGACAGCCAATAGTGATTTTCCTTACTGAGGAGTTGGCAACACTGGTTGAAGCCCTGCTTGGAACCTCGTTAAGATCCAGCCATGCAATTTTTTTGTTGTTGCCATTTTTCAAGTGGTCTTAAACTTTTGATTATATATCGATAGATAGATACAGATATATATATATGTATAAGTAGGACCTCATTGAAAGGCTTTGGTCAAGGTAGTATGCAGTGACCCTAGAGCTCCCCTCTTGCCAGCTCCACCCAACAGTTCCTGTCATCTCTCAGTAAAATACTGTGTATTGTGCCAGTATCTGTAACAGAGTTGTTGGGGATTTATACACTTTCGTGGGGCTCATGGTTGTGTGCTAGGGTGTGCAGCTTGTGCAACTATAGCAGTTACACAGCAACCTGAACAAGATGAAGACCAGAGGTTGGTACACCTTACTAGTAATCTGCAAATTGTTTGTTTGAGTCCCTGTTCAGATGCTGCCATATATGAGACATCTGTTTTTGTGTGTGATCCCTAGTGAAAATAAGCATCATGAACAACCCAAACTAAACTAATACTTAAAAATGTCATTTGTTCTAAGCCATATGGTGAGGCTGTGTAATAGTTTCTACAGGTTGCAAGAACCAAGGTCACCTTTATTCTCTATAAAAGTAATGTCAGTATTCATTTGTAGATATGTTAAACACATTAGAGCAACCAACAAAGACACAAAACACAAAAATCACTCCCTGTATATTCACTCCTCTTCTGTAGGGCTAGCTTCGATGCCAAAGTACCACAAACATGACTTCCGTAGATCTGCTGTTGTTCCAGTGTTGTGGCAAAAACAAAAACAAAAAGCACCGGTCTACTTTTAACCCGTAAATTTGGTACACGTCATCTCTTTTTATGCAACATCCTCTGGTGATTAATGCATGAACAGGACTGCCACTCACGTGTTTCTGTTTAGGGTCAAATCGGTTTGATGTTTGAAGGGTCACAGAGACAAAATAATAACCCACCCAAATGTGCTAAAGCTGCTTTGAAAATGTAAGGAGTAGAAAGTATAGACACTTGTTTAAAAATGCAGGCAGTAAAAGTAAAAAGTAGTCTGTACATGAGTACAGTAACGAAGTATTTACACTTTGTTACTTCCCACCTCTGATGATATTTATTTTGTGTGTGAAGATCTCTGCATGTCCCGACATAGGACTATAGGTTCTCCTTATCATTAACCTGTTTTGACCTGTCTTAACTTTAGGATTATAACTGTTAACATTAAGCACTGGGACTGCTGTTTGTGCTCAAGTTAATGATTTATTTACTATTTTAGCTGTCTATATGTGCCCTTAACAGTAACTTAGCAATGGCTTTTGAGCAGAGGAAGTCTGTAAAGGCAGGGAAGGAAGAGAGCAAGAAAGAAGAGACAAGGTTTCATTTCAAGTCACTTATGGCCCGCAGTTACACAATGCTAGAGATGTTCACCTGAAAATCATTAGTTCAATGCAATTATACTTCATGAATTATGTTAGAATTGCAGGAGTTGATTAAATAATGATCACTTCCCACTCATTACTGTTAATTTGTCATCAGGCTGTCATAAAAAAACAACATCTTATTATTCACTGAGACATTCATCATGAGTTCCTTCTCCAATACTTGTACAAATGATTCTGTTTTTCTTATTAACATGCAGATTAATTTGAACAAGAAACTGACTTCCCCATATGTGTGAAGGGACTCCTGTGTATATTTGTTTTGTGATAGAAGGGAGACCTGAGTTTCTGTCCCAGTGCACACTGAAGTTTGCTACAGCAACTGAATCTCACAGCAATGTTTTCCTGTTGCATATAGGTTGCTGCAGCAGCCGTGGCAGATTGTTATGGTAGCAAGTACAGCAGCCCTTCCAAAAGGGTAAACATAATTTTTACTTTATCTGTTTGTTAAGGCTATTTTTGTAAAATAACTTTCTGTAGAAAACAAAGCTGGTGTAAAGTTTGGTCCATATTTTGGCCTTATCAGGATCTCCTGGTGCGTTCCAAAAGAAGATGGGTCTTATCTACAATTGAATTAGAAGAAGAGAAGGATGCACAGTACCCCATAGAGATTTCAGTGGTAAGGAAATTATATGAAAGAAATAACTGATACTGATAAATGATATGACTGGTGACTATAGACAAATCTAATATGCAAAAATTAACAGCCTGATTGTATCTTGACTAGATGTATAACGACAAGACTCAGGGGAAAGACTTTAGGTTCCGTTTAAGTGGTGAAGGTGTGCCGGACGTGTTTACCATCAATGAAAACACTGGAGCCGTCTTTGCACATAAAAAAGTGGACAGGGAGCAAAAGCCACTTTACCATGTGAGCTAATACTGGAATATAAATTCCTCTGACAATAAATGCAACTGATATTGATGCTTTTTAAGTGATGCGTCTTTTTTTATCCACAGATTAACTTTGATGTCTTGGACAGAAATACGGGTGAACAACTAGACAAGGAACTAGCATTTGATGTTGAAATACAAGACATAAATGATAATCCACCCAAGTTCTCTTTTCCTGAAGTAACAGTTAATGTAAAAGAAAATATACAAGGAAGTGAGTATACGGTGTGGTAAATAACTCATAGTGTGCACATTTTCTATTTCAAACACTAAAAAAATAAAACAAATGATATTAAGACTCTTTGAGAATATAGAATCATTTCAAACCAAAGTCTCATATTTCATCTTACTATAATCATACTACATAGTTCTATAGTTATGTTTTCCTGACTGAAAACCTTTTCTTTATCCCACATTTACTCTCCAACTCTCCTTGTTTGTCTTTACCCAACTTCAGGCCTTTTGCCAGTTACCCTGGTGGTCACAGACAAAGATAAGGAGAACACAGCCAACTCTGAATTTAACATCACGATGGTTTCACAGACTCCAGCAGAGCCCAAAATTGCTGTGCAGCAACTTCCAGGAGGACTGGCCAAACTCACCTTAAAAGGATGCTTTGACTATGATGTGAGATTTATTGCGATATTCTTGCTTAATCTTTGAAAAGTTAATGTACATGCAAATAAACATGTAGAATTTTCAAATATCTCAAATATATTTTATATGTTTCAGAAAGCAACAAAGTATACCATCGTCTTACAAGCAAAAGATCGTGGAACAAAGCCAAAGACTCAGTCCTCTACTGCTGTTGTTACCCTGAACATTGTCGATGCGAACACTCACCAACCAAGATTTAAGCAGAGACAGGTACCAATTATTTTACTTACTAAAAGTGCTTTTTAACAGACGCACATATTAAACGTTTGAAATTTTTCCTTCTTTTTAGTACAACGGTGAAGCAATAGAAATGGAGACCATTGCTAATGTTTTGAGAGTTGCTGTGGAGGATAAAGACACTCCAAACACTGATGCATGGCGTGCCAAGTACTCCATTATTGCAGGGAATGAAGAAGGAATCTACAAAATTGAAACTGATCCAGAAACAAATGAGGGTGTCCTGAGTATTGTCAAGGTAATTCTGCTTTTCTCACTTGGATTAAAAACTTTATTATTTTACTCTGGGAAGAACTAGTCCACCAATGTTTTATCACAAAAACTGTATCAGCATTTAATAAAAGTTGTTTGTGTGTGTACGTGTTGTGTGTTTCAGAAAAAAAATTTTGAACGCACAACTTCAATAAACCTGCAGATTGGAGTAAAAAACATTGAAGACATATTTGTTTGTGCTGGCACAAATCCACCTACAGACAGAGCCAATGTCACTCTAAAAATGATTGATACCAACGATCCACCAGAGTTTGAAAAAGCTATAGATGACATGCACTTGAAGGAGGAAGCAGAGCCAGGAAAGGTGCTGTTCAAGCCAAAGGTTCATGATGTCGACTCTAATATTACCAGGTAGGGTGTCTACAACCTTTCTACAAAGCTTATTTTGATTGACATAAATATATAAGGGCTGCAATGATTCTTTGAGTCATTCGAATAACTCAATTATAAAAAATCCTCAACACAAATTTTTTCTTTGATAACACTCGGCTGTGTAGCGCTCAGTTGTCCCCATGTAAACCTGAGTGCTTCACCCACATTTGTGCCTAAGAATAGACTTGCAGTAGAAACATATCTAGAAGCATATTTCAAGGCTTGCGTAACATCATTTTCTGATTTAAAGTGAAATAAAATAAAATATTAATAAAACTGCATTAATATTTACAAATAATAATATATATATACGTTTTTTACAGGCCAATAAAATTGCATTTGTGCCAGTAAAACTCTGCGGCATTGATTATTGATAATACTCAGTTACTAAATTATGACTAAATCTGCTATGTTTATAGAACAAACCCCAAGTGGCCCAAATCTCCTCAGCAATAACACTTCTTGACATAAAGGTTGGGTCAGTTGACTTAATTTGAGTTATACTGTACTGTAGTTCATGATAATCTCATTGATTGAGTCTAATGTGAATCCAAGATTTTTCATTCTGCCTGTAAGCTACAACATAAAATAGAGACTGACAAGGGTTTTATTTAAACCCTTTTATTTCTTCTTCTTTCTTGAAAGAAAAAAACAGATCCTGCAAAGCGTGATAAGCAACAAGAAATGGTAGCTATCCCAAGCTAATCATGTCTTTATCGACACCTGGTCATATAGATTATCAGAAAATAAGCCTATACAACAGTGGCCTTACCACAGCAAGGCCAGTAGGTGTCACAGTGAAGCATAACATGATTAAGTGAGAAATGGCTACTGAGGGAGTAACGCCCTTTGCACTGCAGTACACAAAAAGCTACAACTTTGGTTTCCACAAGCTAAAACTCAATATTTTCATCTAATATGTTCTGCACCACTCTCTGATTACTCTTTAGGTATGTGCTCCTAACAGATCCAGCTGACTGGGTGGCCATTGATACCAAAACAGGAGAAATCAAATCAACTAAGAGGATGGACAGAGAGTCACGATTTGTTGATGACGAGAATGTTTACACAGTCGTCATAGCTGCCATAGATGATGGTACACAGAAGCTCTACTATTGTTAAAATAAATTGGATAATTTCTTAAACAAATCTTTGGAATAACAAAGCAATTTTTTTTTATTTTGCTGTGGTTTCAAAGGTCAGCCTCCAGCCACGAGCACATGCACTGTCAGGATCCACCTGACGGACATCAATGACAATACTCCTAAACTGGTCAACAACAGCGTTGTCATGTGTGGAAACAAGGTTAACAAGGTCAAGGTGCGTGCAAAGGACCTAGATGCCATTCCTTACAGTGGACCCTTCCACTTTACTCTGGGGGATGAAACACAAAAGCAACAGTGGAAAATAGAACCTGACTATGGTTGGTACATTTAGATATATGTTAACCCTCATTTCTATATTAAACAAACATTTCTGGGAAAAAGCCACAAACCCCCATGCTGTTTTCTCACCCCACACAGGTGAGGAAGTATCTCTTGTTAGCCAGAAGACACTTCCTTATCTTAACTATTCCATTCCCCTGGTGATTATGGACCAACAGGGCATAGCTGGACATGACACTCTGCAATTGACCGTGTGTCAGTGTGATGAAAATGATGTTTGTCGCGACAGAGAGCCGCTTACAACCCGTCTTGGACCAGCTGGCATTGGGTTGGTTATTATAGGATTGCTTGCATTTTTGTGTGAGTATTAAAATCAGTGAGAAGACAAAACTGAGCTATTATAAATTCTAATAAGATTATAGTCTCCTGTGTTTTTGAAGGTAAAAAAAAAATCTGTATTAGCATTAATACACAAGTGTTGACCGCAAAACCTTTTTGTTTTCAATTTTCAGTTTCACTGTAAGAAATGCTTTAATTTTTAGGAATAGCCCAATCAGACAGTTACACTTTTAGAACTCCTTAGTACAACCACAGTCACATCTGTTGTTCATAAGGAAGACTCGGCTCTTCTGCTTTCCCAACCAACTTTAATGTACTTGGGAGACCTTCTGGTACCCATGGCAATGACAGTTCAATAAAACACAAAGACAAGATGCACACTGTGTTCTTAGCATTTGTTTCATGTGTGTCTGCAGTGCTTCTAATTGCATTTTTCTGCAAGTTTGGACCAGATAAGATTTTGCCACAAGATGAGGGCAATCAGACTCTAATCCAGTACAATCAAGAAGGAGGGTGCTCTCCATGCATGGTGGGTTTGTCATGTTCTGTGCGTGTAAATTCAAGACAATGGTGTGATATATTTCTCCACCAAGCAAAACATGTTTTTTAATATTCTCTCTTTCCTTCAGACCGAGCCCAATTTCGTCCAGTCACAAGTAGATACTATGGCAGTGACAAATGGTCAGATGGATACCATGCAGGTGATCAACCTCTCAACTCTGACACTTTCTTTCTTTTTTGGTGAAGGATTTTTTTTTTCCAAAGGAGACATCAGTTGTGCCAATTTGGACACAGTCATAGTGTAGTTAAAGACATCAGGAGAGAAGCCAAAATGTGTCAGTTAATCCTGCTTAAAATGAATGGCAGCTATAATCCAGTTGTTATCATATTTTTCTTTGATGACAGACAGGTATGTAAGGCAGTGGTTAAGATGTATGCTGTGTATACAGGAAAAAGTTTGCATACAGTCTGCAAGGTAAACGTTTAAAAAGTGTGAGCACATCATAGAGAAGACAAGTTGGAACAGCTTCTTCATTTTTAGATGTACTGATCATATTTGCTGCATTAAGTTGTGAATCTCTATGGTGGTCTTTAAGTGTAAGCTACAGGTAGGAATTGATTTCTGTACCCATGAATATACAGTTTTGGGAAGTTTGTGAGCACTTAAGAAAGCATAAAGTTTTATTATTTAGAAGAAGGTGCTATAGATACATTTTCATTTTCAAATCTGTTGAGATGTTTTTAATTGAAAAGTAATTCAACTTAAAACATTTTTTATAAAACTTGAATATTTTCTGAATTCAATGCTTAATTAACCTCTTCTGCTCAATTATCTATCCCAGATTGATACGGAAGGACCATATGACGTAAATAGGTACAACAGCTCAGTGTCTACCATGGTGAGTAAAGCTTTTTAAAATATTTTCTTTTGTTTATTTTAAGTGTACATGATAATTAAGCTTTGGGATGGGTACTGAGGACCATTATTAAACAGATTCTTGTGTCAGACTGCTTGGTCCTAAAGTATAGCATCAATTACAAGTCCCTTGACAAAATTACTTATTGCTCCCTGATGATAAAGCTTTTGAATTTCCGCTATAGCCCAAAAAGGTCCAAAAAGGTTGAGCAATTATGGTAAAATGCACATGGTAAAATCTACTATGCAGAGCTCACTTTTCTGTTTGTCTCCAGACAGCAGTGCTTTGTAAATGTTTTATTATACCGTGATACACCAAAAATGAAGCTCATCTTCTCTTCTTTCCAAAAGCATTCAAATTTTTTCTCTAGCACAAATTATCTCATAAACTCAGAACAAGCATCAATTCTAAGCACTTCTTTAAATGCTTAGAAGTCGGGGTTAAAATGAGTTGTGCAATGGGTGGGAAGAGTCATGTATGTGCTGACTTTATGGAAAAAGGTGAAGTTAAAAAAAGTAGAGGATGTTTGGCTATATTCTGCAAATACTTTATTAGATTTTTTAATTATATAATATATGCACTTTATTATATGTTCAGTGTACATTGCTTATTTACTTGAAGTGAGAGGAATGTTGAATAAGGATTGAAACAATAATCTTGAAGTGAACCGTGTATTTTTGATTTTTTAGTTCTCTAAGTAGATCAGAATTATATCCGAAAAAAACGTGTCTACTGTAGTTTCTTGTCTTAAACGTGGCTCTCACTGGAGATCTGACAGCCAAATCAAACTCATTCTTGAATGCAAGTTAAGGCAATGACAACCATTTCATTCGTATAATAAAACAGATGTGAGTGACTAGCAGACACCCTGGTAACTGCCGAGTGAAGAACATCATGTGAGAATAGAAAGGTGTGTCTTCTCTGACACTCACTGGCATGTAGCTGACAGACAAGAGGTGCCGCAATGAAGACAAACTGATGGACTGAAAGAGAACATTTTTAGGGAATTAACATTTACTCTTGTTACTGTGAGCACAATCAAACCTTTTACAAGTGAAAAAGGTGGTTCTGGATCACAGTATGTGTTCCACGACCATTAAGCAACATGTAGAAAAGTTATCTTTTTTTAACCGCTTTCATCCACCCCTTATGTGTTTTACAAAAAAAGCTACCTGTATGGAGACAGACTTGCTACATATCCTGAAACGTTGTAGACCCTTGTAAACTCATTTATAAAGGATAGCCAACTCACCCCTAGTCTAGTCAAGAGTGTGTACCACAAATTTGTTTGACCTATCCTAAACTTCGTGTGAGCTGTCCTGCCAATCACAGGTAAACAACTTGGTATTACCCATGGTTATGCTGGGCCAAGCATAGCTCTCGAGTATGAAGACCGGCTGAACTTGTCAGTGTCTAAAAGCAGCTATTATCAATGTAATCTTTTAATTTTACAATAAAATGTTCATTGTAGCATCAACAAAAGTGTAGATAAATAAAGGTAAACAATAAGCAGTGTCTGTATCATATGAATACAATCCTAACAATATATATCCCTAATTATGGGCATAAATATTTAACTTTAAGGCACAAATCTGACCAAAGGAGCAGGGCTTGTTGTTGTTTTTTTATTTAGCTTTGTTGTGTCTTTCCTACAGTTCCACTCACTAGGCATGCATCAACAAGAAACCTACAGGAGCCATGGCATGAGAAGCATGGTAAGTCTCAATGGCTGTAATAAAAATAACTTTTCCTTCTTAACCGTTTACCTTACCCTATTTATTTTCTAGATAAAATTATTTTAATATATAATATAATAATAATATCATATTGTAATAAAAGAATTGTACTAGGCACTGGTAAACTCTATGATGAATAGCCATGCTACCACTTTAGATCCACAAGAGGGTGCTGGAACCCCTATGTTAAAAAATACTGCCTTACCTTTTTTTGGATAAAATATTTAACTCATGCTAGCTTGTTAGCTTTTACGCACATACAAATACTACTAAAAGTAGTTTAAAGAAAGTGAAACATTAGTGAGGATGTTTGATTACAAGTATTATTATTCTATACTGCCAATATTAAATATAATATTAAAATACAACATTTATAAATATACTCACAGATTTACTCTTATGTTAACAAACACACATAATGGCAGCTTTGCTTCATTTTATTATATGTTCAGTATTTAATTACTCAATTACTAAAGTGGGTAGATGCTGAAGCAGTTAAAAAATAATTTTGTGTGAAAAGATACACAGATTTTCAGAGTAAATTTAAGTCTGCAGTGAACAATTTGTTTTGGTTTTTTTAGAGGATGAACTCTACATGGAACTCAAACAGAATGAACACCTATCGGGTAAGGAGTACTCTTATGTGGCTTCATATTTTACAAAACATTGAAAATCAGTGATTATGTTAACAAAGCACTTGCATTATATGATGCAATAAAATCTGACAACCCTGTTCTCTGTAAGCAGGCCGGCTCATCAATTTACCAACGTTCTTTCAGCCTTCGATCGGCTGACCGCATTGAAGACCATATCAACAGGGTAAGAGGTTTATTTCACACAAAGCATGCCTTGTATATGGCTTATAATGCACTTGATTTTATTGACGATCACATTCATTAAACTGCACTGACTGCACAGCAATGATGTGTGGAAGGGCTGCAGTCATGCTGTACCAAATGCAATTCAACGCTATACTGAGTGATGTCTCTTTTTTGTTTGTTTTACAAATTAAGCCAAGCCATTTATTTTTGACTTCTAAATTCCACAGAGATGTAACGAGGTTGATGGAAATGTTGTTGACCACCCAACATACCAACCCCACAGCTATGCCTTTGAAGGAGATGGCAGCATATGTCAGTCATTGGATAAACTGTCATTCCACGACATGGGAGAGGATTTTAAGTATCTGGATGATTTGGGGCCAAAGTTCAAGACTTTGGGACAGATGTATGATGAGGCAATTAAAAAAAAGAAAGTACAGCTTTAAAAGGCACTGCTGAAATGTAAATTGTATTCCAAGTTTCGCTCCCTAAAATACAGACTGAGCAGAGATGATACACCACTACGTTTTGATATTTTTACTTAAAGATTATGGACTATAACATCTAATTCATCCTAAGCCAGATATATTTTGTTGGCATTAAGATGGATTTAACGCACTGGACAGCTAGTGACGCACAAGTGGTTTGTGAAATGTAATAACTTGAAAGGGATTAGGTGTGTTTTCTTGTTTTTTTAGTTTGCTTTGTCAGGGCAGTATTATTGGGAAATTTAATAGAACTTCTTTTGTTGAAACTGAGATGACTCCTGTTAGTCACATTTTTCTAGAGTACTGTTTTGTAAAGGATTTTTGATGAGAACACAGGGCTTATCATAATGGGTTATTGTTCAGGCAAGTTAGAAATGTCCTTGGCCTATGGTTGATGATCGAGTGACATACTGGTCTGGAATTAACACTGGATATCCTACAAGATTAAAACGTTAATGTTAATGTTTAGTTTTCGTATTTGCATTTCATGATACAAAAATAACAAACTTTATTCCTATAACACCTTTCCAAACCAGTCACAAGGTTCTTTAAATACTTTACAATACAAAAATAACACATTTTTATAAAATACATAATAAAATGAATGACATAAAAAAAATGAAAATAAAAATGAAATTAAAAAAAACAAAAAAAGCAAGATACATCATGAAATGTTATTTTTAGAAGAGCAAGTGTATACAGGTATATTTTTTGAGTTTACTGGATGGTTGGACTGATTGAGCTGATCTAAGCGTAACAGACTTGTTCCGGGGGCTAAAACAATAAAAACACTGATTTTAAGTGATTTACAAGTAAGATAGAAAAATTGGAAACTGTATAGAATAGAGAGCAAATGTGCATATTTGTAAAAAATACTTTCTTTGTTAGGAATTAAAATAAAGATTGTAGTTTTTGGGCTGAAATACTTCAACTTTTTAAAATTATACAAAGATTTTTTTACACTTTGACAGCAATTAATTATATTTATTCAGTTTATGTTTGCACAATGCTCCTCTAACCCGACTACTTAAAGTGTGGCTTCAAAAACATCACTGCATAGAAATATCACTGTAACACTGAGTTGGGTTGTCTGTACTTGTGCAAAGTTTTGAGCTTCGGTTGTAAAACGTTGTGACAGCTCCTTAACAATGTGCTTTGTTGTGTTGTGCTGACTGTAAGCCGTGTAGTCATAGCTCTTTCAGCAAGTGTCTGAACTTGTTTGTTTTTTAAAATACTGGTAGTCAAGGTGAGCCACAGACGGTAATATGCTAAACAAATCTATGACCATGTTTGCGCCACATGCATAACTTAAAAACCTTTCTCCATTACAAGTGCAAATGAATTGCCAGAATTCATAAAAAGACAAAACATGGATTATAAATAATAAAACATAATATGAAACAAAAACAGACAGATGAAGGCATCGAATGAGGCGATAATAAGGGCATTAAAGACATGTAAAGAATCTTAAAGTTCACTTTCATTTTTTCCATTTCTTCTGGCTAGTGTAAGTGAGGTGCGGTAGATCATGGTTCAAAAGGAAACTAAAATTTGAACTTGTTGATGCATTTTTGCTGACTTTTATTATTCCAAACTTTTTTTCTTAAAACCTTTTTTTAGCTTCTACAGTAGGAAAGTTTGAGAATGACTGGGTTAAAGTGATTAAAGTACATACAAGAACGCATAGGGGGTTTCTGTGTTTTTTTAAAGTAAGCCTGCTTGTTTTAGAAAAACAGTTTGTTTAGTTATTTTACTTTGTTTTTTTTGCATGGGGTGGTTTTGGCAATGATCTTCCCACGCAGGGTGTTGTTCATTAACAGTTCTTATCTGTTTTCTGAAGAAGTGATTTCATCAGTGCTGCTGGTAAAGGCTCTGAAAGGCTGTTTTGCTTCAGGCCATAAAATAGTTATTTTAATAATAAAGAGGAACATCCCAACAGTAAAAAAATAAAATAAAATCCTAGCAGACAGGAGCCAGGGCTCTATTCCTGATCACTAAATAGGCAAATCATAGACAAATTGGTAAGTCACTGAAAATGTATATTCTCCTGTGTACATTATTTTCCAGAAAGCGATCTTCTTCCCTTTCCCTACCAGACTCAGAGGAATTGACAAAGTTTTTTTTTCTGAAGGTTTTGGAGATCTCCATAGCTGCACAGTGCCACCACAAACTTCAGCAGTTGTAGGGGTAAATAAGTTTAACCCGTCACTCTGTAAGGAGGCTCAAATTGCTGACATCTAATCTGGTTTGATTTCCCAAAACTGATGGTTTTACTTTTCCCATGACATGGCGTGTGGGTTTCCTTTATTTGAATTTGACTGCAACGCTTTGAACACAATGTTTTAAAGAGGATCAAATTATTGCTGCTACTCAATTTGATGTGTTTAAAATACATAAAAAGATTTCTGTCACTTAGTTAGAAAGAAAGCGAAACAACTATGAAAGCTTTTATTATCAGCAATCAAATCACTTCTTGAGAAAAGGGCCTCAAGTTAGGAGTGGTGTAATTGTTTATTATTTCCAGATAAGTATGCAAGTTCCTGCTTAGGTCCTTCAGCTCAATGGCTAAATGAAATAAATCAAATCACTTAAAAAAACAACTGTATTATTATTATTATTATTATTATTATTATTATTATTATTATTATTATTATTATTATTATTATTATTATTATTATTATTATTATTATGAGCCACTGTGGACATTACCAATACCCTCCTCCAACCCTTCCACCTTCTGGGAAGAGATACAGATTAATCCAAACCTGAAGCAACAGATTAAAAGTCCTTAACTCCTTCTGTCCTCAAGACTGTAGTAATATGCAGGGTAGTGGACATAAACCATGTTAGTCTCACCTTTTTTTCTTTCTTTTTTTACTAAATGCAAAAGTCTTGAGCCACAACTAATTTCTTTCTCATTTGGTTTCAAATTTTAAAGGGATTTATTTATTTGACTTAAATATTTGACTTAACTGACTGTGGCATCAGCAAATACTATTTACTATTTTTTCTGTGTTCTAGCAAGTTTTCAGTAGGTCAGAGTTTCAAGATTTTATATATTTATACAGTGTTACAGTTTGTAACAAAAGCTGCCAACTTCTGCTGTCAGGGTTAATTAAAATTAAAATTTAAAATTAAACACAAATAAAAAATGTAAATAACAGTAGAGCTTACTATTAGTCATGAAAATATGTGTTATGAAGAACAAAATTGTATTTTAAATCTGCTATTTACCCCAATTTTAATCCCTTTCTTTTTTTTTTTTTAGTCACAAACATTTTTACTACAAAAATTATCAGTATTTGCATAAAGTTAATTTGTCTTCTGCTGACAGAACTTGGGTTAGTTTGTGTTTTAAATTTGTATTATAAATAAAAGTCACATCTCAAACCTGAAGGGAATGAATCTGATTCTTGGGGTGCTTTTTTGGTACAATTTTCAAAAATGCTTTCTAAATGAAGATACCACAAAAGCCGAAAAGAAAACACCATTTCATTTCTTGGTTGAGAAAGAATATCTATAAAGCTATATAACTCTAAATAAAAATGTGTACAATAAAGCACTCAAATCATTCATCATTAACTGATGGGAAACTATGAGTTTCTATTCATTTAGTTCTGTAATGACTTCATCACGTCTTTACCACAATTGCAACAAAAGCATTGTCAAGTAGCTTTGGAAAGATCTGTAAGACCTGAAACACTGAAAGGCTTGTGTAGCCTATCCCCAACATGCTATACTTGTAACTGACTTCCACTAGAAGTCTGAACATGCCAGGCGCATTTTGGAAACACCTGCTGTGGTCTCATAAGGTTTAGAACATCTGGACACAATGAGAAAAGGTACACTTCAAGACAAAAAGGTGCTGAAAGCCTCAACCAAACTCTTGGACTACTGTATATGTGTTTAGGTAAACATTTTAACAAGCACTAGATTAAAAACATTAAAACAAAAACTTTAAAAATACAATTCGTTTTAGACTTAGTTTGGATAATTGACCTGTACGGAGCCCCGCAAGTGACAATGGAGAAAAAAAAATAAAGATGAACTTTTGCAAGATCTCCCAAAACTTTTGCCATCTTGGTATAGCAGAAAAAAATAAACATTGCAATTCTAATAATGTTGTATCATGTGCTAACTTGTGCACGCAAGGGCTCGGGTTACCACCATGAAACAAATAAGTCATGTGTAGCCTCTGTATTTTTTGCTGCATTTGATTTGAAGTGGAAATTCTGAATTTGTGTATAAAATTCATAAAGTCAGCGAAGCCATACAACCAAGATTTCACAATCCTATAACAGCTTTGCATATAAACAGCAGGGAACCTGTAAAACTTGGAATCTGTACAGCTACTTCTGTGCATTTGAGACTCACTAAATAAAGCATACACAGAACACTAGCCATGTTCTATTTGTGAATATGAAGCTTTTTTAATCACACAAAAGGCCTTGTACTATATTAATGGTAATTGATGAATGATTGTACCTTGACATAGAGCATTTAAAAAGTTGCTTTTCCAACTTTACAAATGGAATGCAGTTAACTCTGGAGTGAGGTTACTCCAACGTGTGACATCCGGAGCAAATCAAACAATGCATTTGTCCTTCCCTTTGAATCAGTGCTGTGACTACATGTATTAGTCTTTATTGTCAACATTTAAATTGTCTGTATTAAAATACAATCAGTATTGTGTAACAATCGTTAGCCAGCCTTTGTTTGTTTCATATTTGGACATTTTTGTAATTTTTCTAAATCTTTTAGAAGAGAATTGTGTGTTGGGGATTTTCTTCATTTAAACCATTTAACACTGACCTTGCAAAAATGCCTCCACCACTTGTGTCAGCTAACAGAACATATTTGGTAATTGTAGATATATTTTTATATATTTTTGTTGTTGTGTGGTTTGAGGGGGCGACCATGTCTGCTTGCCTTTCTGTAAATAGCCGCTTCAATCACAAAAGGCATCTAAATCAAGGTGTGTGTTGTGTGCGCACACAGACAAGTGAGCAAAAAATCTTAAATTGTCCCTTTAGACATTTTGTGGTGAGTAGCCTGTTGCAAAAACCCATAATCTATTCCAATGTATTTAAGTGAACCTATAAAAGTTGCCCAAGATACAGTTACAAATACATATACTCACAGACACACAGATGCAATACAATACAATACAATTCTATCTATTCTATTCTATATTATATAATATATTATAATACATAATATAATATCATAGACTAATTATGTTTTTAAATGTGATTTTACGTGGCTTTTAGTTGGGTTTTTTTTCTTTTCTTTTCTAGCATCATTATAGGTTTTCAAGCAAGCGGGTACTGTTAGTCAAGGTGAAAACTGTACACACCCATACAGATACAGATAAAGATTACGATTACCTCATGGCTAGACGTATACAGCTGATTTATAAAGATATCCCTCCCACTGGTATCTCTCTGCCAAAGCTCACATTGGCATGCAGCTGAGTTTCTACTCAAGTGCATTCAAGTAGTCGTCTGCAATGAATTCACTTCAAAACTAGCCGTTCTGTGGATATAAAATGGAACTAATACACCCAATTCTACTTTTGATTCTGGTAAGGCTTAAGTATGTAAAACTACATGTAATCTTTTATTACTTCTGCCATAAATTTCAACACAAATATTTTAAAAATATGTCTAATTGTTTTACTAATTGTGTTTATGACGATTATGTCTGTCAACATTATACTGAGTTATAGCCAGTGTTTAAAGATTAAAAATCTGCTAAGAATATAATATAATATATAATATATATGATACTCATAAATATGCTGTGCTGCACATTTACTGCAAGAAATGTTTCCAGTGTAATCTTTTGCAGTGTTGGGGAGTCCACAGATCATCTTCACAACTTTTGCTGCGTCAAAAAAGAAACTGGATCATTAATTCCTTTACTATTGATGAAGGTTATCAGGGACCTTTCCCATATTCACTGGGCAAAGTGAGTGTATGCCTTAAAATGTAACACATATCATGAAATAAGGAAAGATAATTCCAAAATTCACTGCTCGTGTGTCTTATGTTTGATACAGATTGAGGTTGAGAAGGACCTCGTTCTTTTTATGATACAAGGAGAAGGTGTCGATGAGGAACCAACGCAAGTGTTAGAAATCAATTCATATACAGGAGAAATAAAGGTCCTCCGTTCGGTGGACTACGAACAATATAAAACTCTTAAGGTAAGAAGAAATTTAAAAAATATATCTAAATGGAAAGTAAAAGCTATGCATGGAGTGAAGTTTGATTATTTTGTCTTTCCATTGCAGCTTAAATTTAAAGCACTTGACAGAGAAAAACATGAAATAGAGACACAGCTCGGGATTTATATAGAGATTTTGGACACAAACGACAACCCTCCAAAATTTCTGTTTGAAAAGTACACTTTCACCATAAAAGAGTCAACATCACAGGGTAATTTTCTCATTTGGAAAGAAATATTATTTAAATTACTAATGCTACGGTGTCAAAATTATGTTTTTTGTGACAGTGAATAATCATTATTTCCTTTTGATACTAACAGGCACTGAAGTGGGTAGAATTCAAGCAACAGATCAAGACATAAGTGAGATATATAACAAAGTTGACCTTAACATAGTTTCAGTCAAACCTAAACCTAAGGATCTTGAGTTCTACTTCAAAGAGATCGATGAGACAGGCATTGGAGTCATTTCTTTTAAAGGATGTCTGGACCATGAGGTGAGAGAAATTACTGCTTGAAAAATTAAAACTTTCCATTTTAATCTTTCAACATGAATCTCCTCAAATTTCAATAGTACAACTAAATTCAATATTTTTGACATCCATTTACATTCAAGATGAGCAAAATTTTATTTTTCTCCATCAGACAGCTGAGAAATACACCATTATAGTGGAGGCCAAAGACAATGGAGAAAAACCGCTATCCACCTCCTGCACCATCATAATCAATATAGAAGATGGAAATAATCACCTTCCTGTCATCACACAGCAAACAGTTAGCAGTTACTTATTTCAGTCACAATAATTTATTCAATGAAAATCATTTCCTATTTTACATCTTCCTCTTTTGTGACCCAAGGGCCCAGAAAAAGTGAAAGAAGGACAGACAAATGTTCTTGTTTCACGTATACAAGTTCATGATGAAGACACCAGAGGAACCCCAGCATGGAGAGCCAAATATACAATCCAAGGAGACACAAACAACAACTTTAGAATAACTACAGATCCTGAGACAAACGATGGACTACTCCATGTGGAAAAGGTATTTTTGTGATTATGTTTACAGTAGACTAAACTTTCCAATCTAAGTAGTTGAAAACAGTCTATGTGGTAAAAACCCTGTCGCATTTTTTAAATTAACCAACATAAGCTCTTTTTTTATCTTCAAAAATTAGTATATAAAACACAGAAAAATATGAAAGAGATTTTCCTGGCCTGGCTTTTTATAACAGATAACCTTAAAAATAATTTGAAGTAGAACAAAAATGGAAGAAAACCATGACTCAGCATATGAACATACCTGATGCTGCTAAAGTGAAGCAGAACAAAATTACAGTGGTTTTATTAGACACAGCCAAGCGTTTTGCAAT